TAGGTAACTACATCAGTATAAATAAGTAACTACATCAGTACAAATAAGTAACTACATCAGTACAAATAGGTAACTACATCAATACAAATAAGTAACTACATCAATACAAATAAGTCACTACAACAGTAAAAATAAGGTACTACATCAGTACAAAAAAGTTACTCCAACAGTACAAATAGGTCACTACATCAGTAAAAATAGGTTACTACAAAGGTACAAATAAGTCACTTCAAAGGTACAAATAAGTAACTACATCAGTACAAATAATTAGCTACATCAGTACAAATAAGTAACTACATCAGTACAAATAAGTCACTACAACGGTACAAATAAGTAACTACATCAGTAAAAATAGGTTACTACATCAGTACAAAAAATGACGCTACAACAGTACATATAGATTAAACAGATTACTACAACGGTACAAGTAGATAACTACATCAGTAAAAATAAGTAACTACATCAGTAAAAATAAGTAACTACATCAGTACAAATAGGTAACTACATCAGTACAAATAGGTAACTACATCAGTACAAATAAGTAACTACATCAGTACAAATAAGTAACTACATCAGTACAAATAGGTAACTACATCAGTACAAATAAGTAACTACATCAGTACAAATAAGTAACTACATCAGTACAAATAGGTAACTACATCAGTACAAATAAGTAACTACATCAGTACAAATAAGTAACTACATCAGTACAAATAGGTAACTACATCAGTACAAATAAGTAACTACATCAGTACAAATAAGTAACTACATCAGTACAAATAGGTAACTACATCAGTACAAATAAGTAACTACATCAGTACAAATAAGTAACTACATCAGTACAAATAGGTAACTACATCAGTACAAATAAGTAACTACATCAGTACAAATAAGTAACTACATCAGTACAAATAGGTAACTACATCAGTACAAATAAGTAACTACATCAGTACAAATAAGTAACTACATCAGTACAAATAGGTAACTACATCAGTACAAATAGGTAACTACATCAGTACAAATAAGTAACTACATCAGTACAAATAAGTAACTACATCAGTACAAATAGGTAACTACATCAGTACAAATAGGTAACTACATCAGTAAAAATAAGTAACTACATCAGTACAAATAAGTAACTACATCAGTACAAATAAGTAACTACATCAGTACAAATAGGTAACTACATCAGTACAAATAGGTAACTACATCAGTACAAATAAGTAACTACATCAGTACAAATAAGTAACTACATCAGTACAAATAAGTAACTACATCAGTACAAATAGGTAACTACATCAGTACAAATAGGTAACTACATCAGTACAAATAGGTAACTACATCAGTACAAGTATGTAACTACATCAGTATAAATAAGTAACTTCAACGGTACAAGTAAGTAACTACATCAGTATAAATAAGTAACTACATCAGTACAAATAAGTAACTACATCAGTACAAATAAGTAACTACATCAGTACAAATAGGTAACTACATCAGTACAAATAGGTAACTACATCAGTACAAGTATGTAACTACATCAATATAAATAAGTAACTACAACAGTACAAGTAGGTAACTACATCAGTACAAATAAGTAACTACATCAGTACAAATAAGTAACTACATCAGTACAAATAGGTAACTACATCAGTACAAATAGGTAACTACATCAGTACAAGTATGTAACTACATCAGTATAAATAAGTAACTACAACAGTACAAGTAGGTAACTACATCAGTATAAATAAGTAACTACATCAGTAAAAATAAGTAACTACATCAGTACAAATAGGTAACTACATCAGTATAAATAAGTAACTACATCAGTACAAATAAGTAACTACATCAGTAAAAATAAGTAACTACATCAGTACAAATAGGTAACTACATCAGTATAAATAAGTAACTACATCAGTACAAATAAGTAACTACATCAGTACAAATAGGTAACTACATCAATACAAATAAGTAACTACATCAATACAAATAAGTCACTACAACAGTAAAAATAAGTAACTACATCAGTACAAATAGGTAACTACATCAGTATAAATAAGTAACTACATCAGTACAAATAAGTAACTACATCACTAGAAATAAGGTACTACATCAGTACAAAAAAGTTACTCCAACAGTACAAATAAGTCACTACATCAGTAAAAATAGGTTACTACAAAGGTACAAATAAGTCACTTCAAAGGTACAAATAAGTAACTACATCAGTACAAATAATAAGCTACATCAGTACAAATAAGTAACTACATCAGTACAAATAAGTAACTACAACGGTACAAATAAGTAACTACATCAGTAAAAATTGGTTACTACATCAGTACAAAAAATGACGCTACAACAGTACATATAGATTAAACAGATTACTACAACGGTACAAGTAGATAACTACATCAGTAAAAATATGTAACTACAACAGTAAAAATAAGTAACTACATCAGTACAAATAGGTAACTACATCAGTACAAGTATGTAACTACATCAATATAAATAAGTAACTACAACAGTACAAGTAGGAAACTACATCAGTATAAATAAGTAACTACATCAGTACAAATAAGTAACTACAACGGTACAAAGAAGTAACTACATCAGTAAAAATTGGTTACTACATCAGTACAAAAAATGACGCTACAACAGTACATATAGATTAAACAGATTACTACAACGGTACAAGTAGATAACTACATCAGTAAAAATATGTAACTACAACAGTAAAAATAAGTAACTACATCAGTACAAATAGGAACCTACATCAGTACAAATAGGTAGCTACATCAGTACAAGTATGGAACTACATCAGTATAAATAAGTAACTACAACAGTACAAGTAGGAAACTACATCAGTATAAATAAGTAACTACATCAGTAAAAATAAGTAACTACACCAGTACAAATAGGTAACTACATCAGTACAAATAGGTAGCTACATCAGTACAAGTATGGAACTACATCAGTATAAATAAGTAACTACAACAGTACAAGTAGGTAACTACATCAGTATAAATAAGTAACTACAACAGTACAAGTAGGAAACTACATCAGTATAAATAAGTAACTACATCAGTAAAAATAAGTAACTAAATCAGTAAAAATATGTAACTACAATACAAGTAGGTAACTACAGCAGTACAAGTAAGTTACTACAACAGTAAAAATCGATAACCTTAACGATGCAAATAGGTTACTACACCAGTAAAAATTGGTAACTACATCAGTACAAATAGATAACTGCAACAGAACACATATATAACTACAACAGTTCAAGAAGGTTACTACACCAGTAAAAATAAGTAACTAAATAAATACAAATAGGTAATTACACCTATACAAAGAGATAGTTACAACGGTACAAGTAGATAATTACAACGGTACAAATAGGTAACTTAAGTTGTTGATTCACACAACGTTTCACGATGTGCGGTGTGTGCATGATGTATGCACGCTGCGCGAACTATAAAAAAAAATCTGGTCGAGTATTGCCTGCGCACATTTGTGTAGACGATGGATGAATGTTGTGCGATGACAATCGTGGTTGGTGTAAATTGAGGAATGGCTAAACAATAAATACAGTTTCGTATTTAAACATATAAACTTAACTTTTTAAGTTTGTTTATATATTCTAGCTTCATATATAAGCTTATCTTTCTATCTGTATTTTCTTAAATTTATAAATGATGTTTTCGTTTTTTCAAACAACCCAAATCGACATTTGTTAAACACATATTGACACGGCCCCATATACAGATAACATGGCCACAATTAGGTAACTACAACAGAACACATACATAAGTTTAACAGTATACATACATACATACATGTAACTACATCAGTACACATATACAAGTACATCAATCCATATCAATAATTGGCCAAAACGAAGTGTTACTTTGTTTATTACCTGAAACCCTGTCAGATTAATCAGAAATGACAACATATATTTAAAGATACCTATGCAAATATTTAAAAAAAAAGTTGCTCTATGTTCAATGCGTATATCATTGAGATAATCAACTCCCGTTATTAGTCAGTGCAATCTTGTTAAAGCAATCAAACATAATAAGTAATCAAATACAAAACCAAACAAATCAAAATGTTGACTTACAAAATAAGAATATGTTGTATTTGTATAAAGTTTGTGATAATAACCTCTCGTGAATGGTCAAATTTTTCAAGTTTTGAACATTTCAAGTTCATTTTCATTCATTGCAAAGATGTTGCTTTTGCAACACCCGGTAAAGCAAATGCTGCAAATCGTGCAACACCCACAAATAATAGTTTCCAGGCGTTGTAAAATCCATGACAAAATTTGACACCAATCGTTTTCTTTTCGAATTCCCATGGAGTGTCCTTTGCGCTACGTATTTTATTCTCACCTTTTCCGGCTGTGATGATGATGTATTTCATGGGAATAGAAGTAGAACCTTCCAAGGTTTCCAGCTCGATAGTAAGCGTACAGTTTTTCCGGACCATTTCTAATTCGTTATTCACTGCAATGCGAACATTGCTCGAAAAAAAGCATCGATGATGCGCCTCTCCAAGGAATTTTGATTTGCTCAAAATCTTGTTAATCTCTTCACATGTAATTATTTCACAGATGTATTTTTCCGTTGGTATCTTGAAATAAAAGAAATGAACACGATCAGTTTCAGTAATTAAGCAGACGAAACCATTTTATTTGTGGTTGTTAACTTTTTTGTTTCCTTCTTCAACATTTATGCATTACTTATACAAATATGATTATTTGTTCTAGCAATTAAGTAATATTGTTTGAAATTGCAAATATGTTTTTTAACTACTTACATCCTTTTCCTGATCCCAAGTCTCCCGATAAACCCAGGGAGTATCACCCCTTGAGTTTTTAAAAAACTGGAATCGGTGTCTCCCTTCTCCAGCTTTGATCACAATTTTTTTCAAATTATTTCTATCTTTTGTGTAAAGAAAAAAAGTAATTTCACAATTTTTCATTCTCATTGTTGGTTCTTCTGCTATATGACTTGCAGCATCCCAAACGAACTCTCGATCGCTTTCGTGATGGAGAAAATCTGATGTTTTCAAAATATTGAAAATCTCTTTATTAGATATCTCACGGACTGTATGCTTCTCCACTGGAATCTTGAATGATATGAAAAAATACAATATACTAAGTAGTGTTCCTGTTTTGTTTCGATATAAAGGACACGCAATCAAGAAATAAAAACAAAAGATAAACGGAAGTGGTTTTAATGCATGTGGTTAATAGTATGAAATAGCTGAAACTGCTTAAAACATGATGAGACGAATGTGCAACGAATACAAAAATGACTGCAACAAAGATAAAGCACTCATTTTATGATTGATGTAAGCTTTCGTTTCTTAGAAATTAAGTTGTTAGACAATCTTGTATGGTTCAAGTGACGCGATGAATCCCATAGAGACCTAAGACGGCTCCGCCGAATTCAAGTCGAGTTTAACTAAAATCCTATTTGCTTATACCTCATATCTGTTTTTTGTTGTTGAAAAGCCTGATTTACTGATCAATGAAATAAAGTAACCATTCCCGTTGCCTCACCAAGCGTACGGATCTCATTTGATCTTAGTCAGCACTGCCGCAAAATGCATCATCTTGCTAAATACTGGCTACATAATAGTTTCAGGAAACTATACAAGTAAAACACATTTTGCAATATTCGTATATTCAAATCGCATTCGACCATGGACTACAACCACAAACAAATATTGGTGGAAGACTTAGGTAACCGGCATCCGATTATAACAGCATCCTGAATTATTCGACATCATTTCATGGCACACTATCTAAAGACCATTTATTTAACAATTAATATATAAGGATACCTGTTGATACTCTCATACTAACAAACCATTCAATTCTCCGTTTTGTCGGAATTTATTTTGATATGTATAGATATTGTCGGGAACAAAGTCAGGAAGTTGAAATTATTTCGGCTACCTTGTTATAAGAATATAAACATAAGGATGTTTACTTTATCAGGACTTATGCCTGCTCCATTTGCCCTGGTTAATTGAGCTTACGAAGTGTGTTTATTTTCTTTCTTTCTCCTATTTGAAGATAAAAAAACAATGATGTAATGATATGAAGGAATGCAAATTTCGATTAAAAAATAAAGAATTGAAGTTTCGTTTAGTTTTTCGTTATGAAAAATAAGGATTACCAATTAAGACAAATAACACCATTATACACTAAAATTAGACAAGGGCCTACTAAATTTATCTAAACAACTATCTCTGAGCTCTCATACAGTATTGTCAATTCCTTGATTAACTCGATTCGGCACTTATCAATATTAATAATTTGATAAAATAAACGTTAATTATATTCTAATGTCAATCATATTAAGTATCTGACCTGGCATAACGTATATGGAGAGGATCTTATTGGTCTTATCTAGTTGGTATAATGCTATCAACATTAGTGTAGATACATACAACTATGAGAAGTCATAGAAAATTATTTAGATAACATTGTCAAATACAACTAGGAAAAAAGTAAAGCATCTGTAATTTTACATATAAAGTTATTAAAACAAAAAAGATATAGAAAATCTGGTTTCAGACTTTTATACGTCAACTTAACCAAGATTTTTTAAAAATAGTACTATCAATTCTAAAAATCCACAAGAACAAGATTATTGAACAAAGTCGACACTATCACGGACATTGAAACAAAATATCGAAATGTTCTATTATTGATAGACTTTGAATTTACATCAGGAAAGTTGCCAGTGCTGCTCAAATTTTGCAAAAAAATAAAAAATAAATTATGCATTCGGTATTTCAGAACGCGTTACAATACAAAAGCAGAGTGCAATAAAGATAGCTTCAGACAGTTAATTGAACTTCGCGTAGGCTTTTTTTAAAAGCAAAACATAAAAATCCTTACGCACATAATTATCCATTTACCGTTGAGATCTGATTCACAACAAACTCGCTTGTTTGCCTATGGAGTGTTCCATAATACAAATATGCAGTATTATAATCCGTTTTCTGGGCTTTTTAATAGTATAGTACTAAGTATTAATGAATTACGTGGCTTTTTAAGTATTCCTAAAATATGATGTATGCCTGGGTTTTTCTGCAGATTATGAACCAGAAGTTAGATTTCAACCAATTGTTATTCGAGAGATAAAACAACCCATCTGCCACGAAAGACTGTTGATTTTAACGAAAAGGTTGTATATACCTTCATTATAGAATGTAATTTGGGTAACAGAAAAATTCCTAAATACATGAAATGGTATCATATAATGAAAACGACTGTCAGCAGATCTTTGCAAAGGCTAAGGGTTTGTTAATGAATTGTTACACAGCAGTGACTCGATGAAACTTGCACATTTATATTTGTGCCAAATATGCCTCCTCATCGCTGTGGCGGTAACGAGGACATTTATTAAATATATGCAAAATATATTCAAAAGTAGGAATTCGATGGACCGTCTGATCTACTAGAAGGTGATCAGAAAATGACTCGCTTGCTGCTGCATTCGCCGGCTTTTTGCTTCCCGCCTGGGTTACATCAGCCAATCATCATTGAGCAATGACGTCACGTTTGAAGCCCGCCATAGTTAATTCTCTCTAGGAATAAGCAGACTTATCATGTTTCCGACGGGTTTAAGCATTCAAAACAATTACAAATTTCTTAATGATGACAACGCAATGGGCAATGCTAAAACGTGAGTATTTTTGTTATCGAGCAGGTGATATTCAATTTAAAACAGGTTTTAAGAGAAACAAATCCTGTCTGTGGGAATCAAATTTTAGGTTAAAATCATTACTTTTTGCAAGTTTTGCGTTTTGACATGTGGTGATCGTAGTTTTCTCATTTCCTGGGAAAACAATTCTTAAAAACAACTTTTTTCTTCTAAAATGTGTTTAAAATGTAGTTTATAAAATATCAATGTATATCTGAGACATGCCAATTATTTTTAGGATCAGGTCATTCTACTGTAAACTGCAACATTGGGAAATTTAGTTTAAGATATTAGATTTTTAGATGACCCAATAGCTGACCATTGTTTGACTTTTGAGACGGCTATAAATATATAAATGTAGTCACATGTTAGCTAATTGGTAATCTGATTGGTCAGTAGAACAGTTAGCATCACTTCAGTCAGCAGCTGGATTGTTAAGCGCCAACTTTAGTGAATCGTAATTGGTGCAATTATCTTTATTCTCTACATACTTGAAGGACTGTAAACTATCACAAAGACAACAATCGAAAGGTGACTTACTCGGAACGTTTTCTACGGGTTATTTCGGTCTGGAAGTGCGATTATGGATCGATTTTAATGTTTTGATAAAAATTTGTGCCTTACGATCTGAATGACCCTTCAAATTGGACCATACCACAGTTGCACTTGAGAAGATCGGTATGAATAACCCGACAACAGGCATCACTAAAGCGGGTTTAAGAATTTTGTATTTTGAGAGAGTGGGTAGAACGAGCGCGAGCTCGAGGGACCTGTCCAACACTAACCATACTTAAAGTGACGTCATGATGCCAATTACGGCGCAACAGATTTACAGACGGGAAAGCAGCATCTCTTAGTTCAAAATCCGACGTCCGCTTATTCTACAGAACTCTTTCGTTTGGCGGAGGCTTTATCTACGGTAGCAGTGTACAGTAGAAATGGCCCGACTCTGATAAACAAGGCACATGTCGAGGAAATGTAACACAGCGGATTTACCCTACACAACACATGTATACATGTATATATATTTGTAAACTGCATTACATTTACAATACATATAAAGTACTAAGAAGTGTATAAACCTCTATTTTCTATGTATGTCACTTGTGTGAAAACCATGGTTACCACATCAAAAATTACCAAAAAATGCCAAAAATTGCTATTTTTAACCCAAAATTTGACCCCCGCAACTAGTGATTTTTTTCCTAAGCTCTGTCTGAAATTAAAGATTACCTACCTGGTTGCAGAATTATCTGGGTCCCAGGTAAGTTGTAAAACTTGATTTTTTGCAATTTTGCGTCGTGTGTTGTCAAAATTTTACCTCCTGTTAAGCTAGCTTTTCATGTGTAGGCACCCTTTCGGATTATGGCCAAAATTTTAATCTCGAACCAAAAAATCTTCTCTTTTTTTTACAAATGTGAAGCTCACATAGTCCACTTCATCATGCTTATACCAATTTTAGTACAGTTTTATTTTTATAATTTTTTTTACATATCATTATACAGGGGTTAGCCATTTAACAAAAATATCACCCATGGCCACAACCCTCTACTGTATACTGCTACCTCATTAACCAGGAGAACTGTTCTCTGTCATATGTCTGCATTGACGACGCAATAAACATTATACATATATTAGGAAGGAATACTTCTATGTGTAAAACTGATATGTCGGACGCGTTTCAGCTCCTACCCATCCATTCGTTCCAATGGCATTTATTTGGCCTCTGTTGGAGGAAAACGTACTATTTTTATACTAGACTAGCATTTGGATGTAGACCGGGCCCCTAAATATTTGGCAATCTTTCACAAACCATATGTTGGATTGCACAGAATAGTTATGAAATTGATCATATTGTACACTTCTTGGATGACTTTATTACGTTTGAAAAACTAGAGAAGTGTCGAGAAAGGAACATTCAGTTATTGCACCTCATTTTCAACCGTTTACTGTACCCATGGCCCTCCATAAAACTCGTGGATCTGTAACAGTTATTGAGTACTTGGGTATTATATTAGACTCTCACAACATGGAAGCCAAGTTAACTTATGACAAATTACAACGTGATACAGAGATGTTATGCTCCTTCCAGAAACGTCAAACATGTTCAAAAAGAGAACTACTTCAGTTACTGGGTCACCTTTATAACTTTGCCAGCAAATGTATCATTCCGGGAAGGAGTTTTGTATCGAGCATACACGAGTTGCCTACTACCGTCAACCCCTTACACCACAATATCAAGCTTAATCAATGTTGCAGGGAGGACATTCGTATGTGGTTGGAATTTCTGCGACACTGGAATGGAGTGGCCATTTTCTATGACTCGCATATGACATTTGTTTATTCATGCATGCGTCCGGTACCCTGGGATTTGGTGGATATATGCGAGGACAGTGGTTTGCTCAACCATGGCCGTCTTACATACTAGAACATGCTCTCAGCACAGAGACTTTATCTATAGCCTTTAAAGAACTTTACCCCATTGTTGTAGCAACTATGGTATGGGGACATTTGTGGAAAGGATTACGTATCTTGTTCATGTGCGAAAACACTGCTACTGTTTCTATCATACAGAAAGTAATACCTAAAGCCCCACATGTTATGCCTCTGATGAGACGTCTTACTATGTGTGCAGCCGATTGTAATTTTGTAGTTATGGCAAAACATGTCCCGAGAAGAGGTAACCTCATAGCAGATTTTTTTAATCTCGTTAACAGATAACCAAGTTCCGACGATTAGGACCAGAGGCAAACCCTCTTCCATGCAAAGTTCCAGATCCATCAGAAGTGTTCTGGAGATAAAGTGGTCGATGATCTGTGAGAGGTAGCCTTAGCTCTAAGTACACTTTAGACACATCGCACAGGTTTTCACATGCTATCCAGTTTCTACCTACTATTGACTTCACTGTATTGTGCGTAACAGAGGATATTCTTATCTACTTCGTTGCTCATTGTTATAGACTAACTTGTCATACGCTTCCATTAAGCTGTACCTATGTGGCATTAAGTTTATGTGTATGAAGAACAATATACCATACTCGAATGGTATGCACCTGAATAGAATATATGCATTACTCGATGGAGTGAAACGAACAAAAGCCAAGGTTAAGAACCATGTGACATTTGAGGTTCTTAAAGCCATTTGTATGTATCTCCGTACATCTACATACTCCTTCGAAGATCTCATGCTTGAAATGGTGTGTACAGTAGCGTTTTTTTTTTGTTTCTTCTTTACTTCTTCTGTGGAGAATTTACCGTTCGATCTACCTTCGATTCGGGAAATAACCTTTGCTTCTGTGATCTATTCATAGCTGATGATCATATATTGTTCTATTTTAAACAATCCAAGACGGACCCATTCAGAGAAGGTGTTACCTAAAAATTATTCAGAACCAACAATACCATATGTCCTTACAGTATATGTTGTAAATATGTGAAAACACTCATAGCCTAGCATCCATCACTTGCCAACCCCTTGTGTGTGACTGTTTATGTTGAAGCTTTGACAAGATACTGTTTTATCAACAAATTTTGTCACGTTTTGGAATGTATAGTCATCACCTCTGATCAGTACAATGGCCATTCATTCCGTATAGGGGCGGCTACTTCATCTGCTGCAGTTCATATGAAAGATCATTTAATTAAATTCCTAGGGAGGTGGTCTTCTGATGCCTATTGTTATAATATCCGTACCCCACAAACATGTATAAGGGTTGCAAAGAAAGCAATTTCTACCTTAGCATAGGGGAAAGTAATATTCAGATGAAGTTAACGGTTATATAGGTTAGAACTGTGTTTATACAGTATTATGCACCAATACAAATACTTTATTTGATCATGATCAGAAGATGTGAGCCTGTGAGGCACTCGTGGGCAGATCTGCCCTTTGCTACTTATATGATGCATGCATTTTATCTTTTATGAGTAAAATTTAATATGTATTAATACTTATTCATAACATTCGAAAGTTGGTTACATAAACTATGTATGCAACATGTACAGCTACTCTTACAACCCTGATACAATATATGCATGTTATTCATATATAAACCTGTATCACTGCTACTTATGTACATGTACATGGATACATTTTCAAATTCAATTTCTCTTAATTTAATTTTGGGTTTATTAATGTTACATTTCATGAATGTGTATAATATCATAATCATATATATATATATATAATACTTTTTGGGGCACTCAGCTAAACTATCCACATAACATATCTTAGTTTGGCCTTGTTTTTATTCGAAATATAAAGCATGCCAAAAATCCCCAAAATGAAATCAGTATAAGTATCATTCATATTTGATAGATTGTAACTACCCATCCCATGGTTACGTAGCCAAAGATGCACTAACTAGTATTGTTGGTGAGGTAGTTTTCTCACGTTTATTGAAGGATAAGATGTTATTGCTTGATCGGCTTTGGCTTTACAATGCAGACATGTAGTAGTTATCTCTAGCAATAAATTTGCACAGAACTACAATATGTGGCTTGCAAGCGAACGCAGTTCTGTAGTATCTACAACAGCATAAGGGCTATATGCACAAGCACACATGCTAATCATAGGGCATTGTGGTAACATGTAACTACTATTAGAGCAAATACACAATAACAGCCTGCAACACGATGTTATAGTAAGTGTAAGACATTGTCCATACTAGTACTACAACAACAAACCGCCTTAACCGATCCAAGAATAATATCCTAATTTAGCACATAAATGTGTGCATGTATAAGCTGAGTTTGCTCTTTATGCAAACACTGTACTTATTGTTAGTAGGTTATAATTATTATGTTTATATGTTAATGTTCAGATGTCTTACTGCAAAGTATATATCTGGTTTGTGACTGTATTAATATTGGATACATATGATGTTGATTAAAAATTTGTACCTGATTCACATCTTAGTTATTTGATTATTTAAATTCAGTTAATTGGAAATTTCCACTGTTTGTTGAAACACGTGCTTTCGCGTCAAGGTCAGTTAAGTTACCGTAAGAAGGACTTGGTTCCAGATTATTACATCAGACGTAAAAGACATCAAAACAAATAATAGTCAATTCAAATAATTGTTATTTACATACAGTCGCTATTTCAGTGTACTTTCTACCTGCAGATAAGATATTTCGTCCACACGAGTAAATAAAATTGAAGTTCAGTAATATTTATCATTATAAGTGTTTATCTATCTAGCCTTTATGTTTACAGTAATGAATAACTGAATGACTATGATAGTCAATATTAATATAATTAATGACATGTTAATATGATAATTGACATTCAGTAATCACCAAAAACCAAGAAATGGAATAACTCTTTTGATTAAGGGTGAAGAACCAAGGACATATATGGTTAATCTTCCATAGGTGTTCCTACATTTTATTTTAAAAATGGTGCCTTTGTTTTCTTGCCTGGGTTTAATTTTTGATGTACATTGTTTACATTTTATGCTCAAATGTTTGGCTTCTTGTGACATATGATACCAAAAGTATCTGTCTCGGTGTTGAATTGGTTACTTTATTCTAAAAATTACATGACATCGGTCAAGCACAGGCTCTAAATGTAAAAGTCATATCACTTCATCAATCTATTTTTATTTGTTTGGTACATACAGAATACAGAATAACTTGAAATAAATTTCAATAAACATGGAACCTCATATACCTTAAACACAATGCATTGTTTGTTGGAATTCTTCTAGGTTAATTATCTATCACCACCTTCCGTTATTACAAAATTTCTCTTTTTGTCATGGTCAACACAATGTTATTTTTACTGATATGATTATTTATTCTAACAATTTAGTCATTCATTTTCATTTCATCAAATTTTATTGACAAGATGTCATAATCAATTGGATTGAATAACAGGCAAAGCCTATATAAATTCCCTCCGTCAAATGGCCAAAGTTGAATAAACAAGGAGACATAATATTTTAGACATGTTGCAAATAAAAAAATTAACACAAAATAATTCATATTAACACAAGGCTAAGGGGAAGTAACTCATGAGGAAACATCTCACACACCTCATACACACTTACACACACATACAGGTACATGTACATACACTATCATAGACAGATATTGGCAGGCTTAGACCAAAAGTCCATGTGCATATATTGCACAGGTCACTGCTACCAACAACTGTTACAATTAAAAATAATAAATTCATTTAATACATATAGAGTGTAATTATTTACAATGTCAAGATAAGTACACGTAATAGACAGTAGTCATGCTCAACTAGAATCTCCTGGATGAAATATAGAATATATAGTATATTTTTGTTTAACATCATGGCTTTAAGTCATATAAAAATTAAAACGACGGGATTTTCCAATAAAAATATGCACATCATCAAGTATTCTTCTATTTGTAAGCCCATCACAATCAGGACAGCCCT